TTTGCTTTGCTTTGCTTTGCTTTGCTTTGCTTTGCTTTGCTTTGCTTCGCTTCGCTTCGCTTCGCTTTTCATCAATGTGTTTGGTTGGTTTTTCCATTTTGCTCTTCTGGTCTGCTGTATTCTTCTTACATGTTGTTGTTTTTTTATTTATTAGCTACCCAGAATTGTTTATTGGCTATAAATTAAAAATAATTAATTAATTAATATGTATACATTTATCTGTTAGTTTTTTGCCCTCAGAGATACAGGGATGCAATGGCAAAAGCAATTTTGCCTCCACAAGTTCAATTCACTTTCTAGGTGCATCATGCCATCATGAGCATGTACACGAAGGAAGGAGTTTGCATGACAGTATTATCATTTTTATCATTTTGATTAAAGCAAGGTGCTACGGAAACCTCTTCCTGCCTTATTTACAGTACAAAAGATATTTTCAAATGTAAAAATGGGACAGTTTTGGGAGATGCCACACACCAATAAATCAGTGGCTTGCCCAATCTCCTTCTTTGAGATTTCAGAATGTTTTTTTCCCCCAGAAATCATCTCAGAAATCAAGGTGTGTCTGCTTTAAATGCCATGGAGACGCATTGTCTGGGTTGCTCCACTTTGCTAATCCACATCACACTAACAATAACAACATCATCAGTATGTATAAATAACCCTTCAATTTTAACAGCACAATTGAATAAAGGGACTGAGACTTCACCAATGAAGTAATAAATATTACATAATGCAGAAGTAACACGGGTGCAACAGGACAAAGTAACAAGCATTTTTAAAATAAAAACTGTTGGACTTTTTCAATACAGGAGAGGTTTCGAAAGCTTGTAAAAGAAAGTACCATATTATGCTAGCAAGGTGACAAAATGTCATTAATTCTAATTATTGGCTAGACAACATGGAACTAAGAGCTTCTAATTAAGAGTTTGCCCTGAATTGGTCTTCCTGTTTATATTGAAGATTCTTGGCGTAAATTAGATGTGATCCTCTTAAGCTGCTCCCCTGCTATTTTGTATCAACAAGTACCGTCTAACTAAACTGAAAAAAGCTCTACTTCCATTAAGTGCTGTGGCACCTCTCTTTCCTTTCCTGTTTTCCACTTATATTCCTGGCTGGACCTCAATACTTATTTTCTCCATGCTTTGTAAAGCCTGGACCATTAATTAAAGAAAATTTGATCATTAGCACTAAGCTCAGTAATGCTCTGTGGATGCATCTGTGCTCTTTTTATAAACAAGTCAAGCACTTCATTCGTTCCCTGTCAACTCTGCCCATCTGCAGTCCTTGGTTGTACCTTCCCCTTCTCTAATCATAAAATCCAATGAAAGCATATCAGAACAACTCTCTGCAATCTCTGATTCATTTTCAAATGGAATTCCTTTGTCTCTCTTTCAATATGTTTCATCAGTTGAATGCATATTGATGCATTGTTGACTTCTAGAAAACTGGGCAAGAGTTCACTAATGTTAAAAACCCTCCAAAAATATTTTATAGCAGACCTACCAGGGGTGAAATTCAAATTTTTTTCCCTACTGGCTCTGTGGGCATAGCTGTGACTGTGGCTTGATATAATAGTAATAGCAACCAGGAGCAACCAGGGGCAATTCAAATTGTCCCTACCACCTTTCCCAAGGTGGTCCGAGGTGGTTGAATTTCACCCCTGAAACCTCTTCGTTTTACAGGCTACAAACTGTCCTTATCTGGCCTGCAGCGGCTTGTTGGTGGGAGAGAACAGGGTGTCATCAGTGGGTACGAAACAGCGTTGGTGGAGGGCATGGCAGTGGCCCTCCACAACAGGCACGCTTTCTCATGTGGCCCATTGGGAAATTAATTGCCTGTCCCTGCTTTATAGAAGACACACACAAGTAAACCTCTAGTCTGGATATTCATTTTGCAGGAAGGAATAGTATATGTCATCTTTTGACTTAGATGGCTGGCATTTTAATGGCCTTCCTGGAAACCAGGAGAAAATAGGACCATTCTGATATCTGGAAGAATGCTTCTCTACAGAAGGTGGTAGAAATCCTAAAGGCTCATTCCCCATAGTCCCTAAAGATGCCATTCTCTGAGCAAAAGGATGAGGAGGCAGCCCCACCCTAACAGATGATATTGAACAGATGAATACTATGAAGAGTTGCTGATCACTCTCATCTCCAGACATTCAGCCACAAAGGGTTTTAAAGGTGACAGTTAACAATTTGAATGTCACCAAAGGCCAAATAACAACCATTCCGCTCTCAATACTCAGGCCACTGTATTCTAGATAAGCTATGGAATTTGTTATGCCTATTTTCCCTGCAACAACATGTGAGGAAGGTTGGTCTGAGAGACTGGCCCCATTACCCAGTGAAATTATGTGGATGTGGGAGGATGAGATTCTAAGTCTTCCTATTCCTAGTCCAGCATCATAACCACTCAGTTAAAAAAATTCTTTCTCCAGATCCTATTCGATCCAGTCTCTATATTGCATTGGATAGACTCTATAGACCTAAACTAAAATGTTAGCCATTAAAATATAACAAAAGGATCTCCCTCAAGACCCTAAAATAGTTTTTGATACATAAAATACTTATTATCCCAAAGTGCCATTGATTCCTACACTTGACACAGCAGATGATTGTCAATTTCACAGTCTTTTAATGGGATTCAAAGAGATGGGTGGATGGATAGAATAGAATAGATGGACAGATGGGTGGGTGGATGAATGGGTGGGTAGGTGATGGAAGGATGGATGGATTGGGCAAGAGTTTACTAATGTTAAAACCCTCCAAAAATATTTTATAGCAGACCTACCAGGGGTAACATTCAAAATTTTTCCCTACTGGCTCTGTGGGCGTGGCTGTGACGTGGCTTGGTATAATAGTAATAGCAACCAGGAGCAACCACGGGCGATTCAAAAACCCTCCAACACACTGGGTTTTTTAAAAAATATTTCCTGGAATAAGCAAATGAGATGATACATTTAACTACCCAGAACTCTTAAAACAGAAATCTGAATGAAGGTGAAATTGTTATTTAAAAGCTATATGGGGGAAAAATCTGATAAAAATAAAATCAAAGGAAACTTATGGGAGCATATGAGAACTGAAGCTAAGATCGATACAAGGAGCCTCCATTACAGTCAAGCGCCCAGCGTGAATGTTTCATATATAATGAAAGAGTTATGATGAACTAATGTAAGTGTGTGTCCCAACTCATAGTATAACAAACTGGGTGCAACAAAACAGCTGAACAAGATTGTGTCCTCTGGTTTTTCTCACTTTTTAAATGGTTCACAATTCCATATGTTTGTCACCCTTTGTTCCTGCTACATGCTGAAGAGGAGGAAATGCAAGCTCAGCTCCAGCTTTAATACTATTTCACAAGACATGCCGAGATATAAATACTTAGCATTTACATTATAACCCCTTTAAAATATTTTGCAAAATTATCTTGGTAGAGTCATAGAGAACAAATGTGTGGAGGGAGGGAGGGAGGGAGGGAGGGAGGGAGGGAGGGAGGAAGGAAGGAAGGAAGGAAGGAAGGAAGGAAGGAAGGAAGGAAGGAAGGAAGGACCCTTCAATCATTAGTTTTCTTTCCTAGGTAGTACAAGCATCAGCATACAGTAATATGGGGTCCTTTTTAAAAAAAAATGATGATGATGATGTCTTAAAAAGTGTTAAGTGTAAGTATTATTATCAGGCAGAGAATTGAATGCTACCCAGCGTTATGGCCGTGCATTAATTTATTCAGTCAAATTGTTAAGTTTAAAAATAAGGAATTTATCACCTATTTAATTTTAGCAGTTAAAATAATAACTGAATTTATCACCCTATAAAGGAAAACCTTAGAGAAAATAACAATTAAGATGTGGATCAATAAGGATTCTACAATCAATAAAACTTCTGGCATACTAGAAAAGATTATAGATTAGTTCTGAATAATGAAAAATCACAATTTAGGAATAACGATTCTAACAAGTCAGGATGGGTTTTATGCATTATCTGAATTGTAACAGTCTCATTAACAGAAATTGTTATGGTGCATGATAACTATTAAGAAGTTTATTGTCTGTTTCCCTTAATTTTTGTCTATATTTTAGTGATTTTATTTTTCTTTTATTTATACACTATAGATTTATGCTATTCAGTTATTGTTAATTTTTGCTAATTAGTAATAGTGCTGATTTTGCTAATTGCTATTGTACAAAAAAACACCATAGAATGATTTGTTAATAGTTAATTTTATTTAAGAAGGCTAATCATTATTCTGTTTGGTTACATAGGGGAATGGAAGCTCAGATTCAGCCTTTAGGAACTCAAATTAATAAACACCTTTTTACAAGAATTAATTGAGTCAGTCCCATTGCTAGGTACCATCTAGTGCCATGGTATCATCCAAATAATATGTTTCCAGTATATTTCCAGACATATTGCAGACTTCTCCCAGATATCTACAGTCATAACTTGGTACTCGGTTGATTTAAAACTCATTGAATTTGGTACTCGGAACATTTTGATGTGAAATTGTGATTTGTTTGGTACTTAATGCAGAAGCTAGTACTTGTCATTGTTGGCTGCCTAGTGACTCTTTCTGGCCAAAACAAACTTAAGTCACATGGTTTGTTTGGTACACACTATTGTTAGTATTCATCACACCTCCTGGAACCAATTAACAATAAGTACTGAGCAGTGGTGGGATTCAATTTTTTTTACTATCGGTTCTGTGGGCGTGGCTTGGTGGGCGTGGCAGGGGAAGGATACTGTAAAATCACCAGTCAGAGGTGGTATTTGCTGGTTCTCAGGAGTATTCAAAATTTCTGCTATCGGTTCTCCAGAACTGGTCAGAACCTGCTGAATACCACCTCTGGTATTGAGATACCACTGTAGTTGTCTTTTCTCAGGCAATTCCAGTTTGCAAATTGATTGATTATAAAATGTATATGCTTCCCATCTCACTGTCCAAAATGACTGTATTCTTTCTAAGCCACTAAGAAGAAACCCAATAACATGCACCAATCTGTTCTTGAAGCTATATCACCTTTTCTCCCTATAAACAATTCCCAAGGCAGATATTGCTCAATCATGACTGGGGAGATATAGACACAAGCAACAACAGTAGAACATACAGTTTATTTTCTAGGATGGGGTGCCCAGTCACTGGGTCTTGAGCCTTTTGGAACCGGAAGTGGTGGGTGAGTGTGTGCTTGAGTGCTCCATTTGCACAAGCTTTGCCCCACAACCAGTCCTCAAAGCCACAAAAAGGTTGGAGAACTCTGTTCTAGGATCTTTGGGAGAAGTATTTCTAATGACAAGAGTGATGGATTTTCCCCACCACCCGGCCA